GGGGGGGGGATCTCTGTAGTATTTCTTACAACTATATATGAGTCTACAATAATCTTAATTTTTTTTGTAGGCAAGTCAATCTTAATATGTGTAAATGCTGGAGGGGTATGTTTATTAATGTGAAGCCATGTTTCTAGTAGACTGCTGAGTGAAAAGCCAGATTCTTAGTTTATAGCCAATAATTCATAAAGTGTGATGGGTCTACGATATCTAAATGTTAGGTTAAATTCAAAGATGACAATAAAAGAAGGTGATTAAAAGTCTCTATCTCATCCAATCAAGATGGCAGAATGGACGGTCCCCAGCATCATTCTCTCACAAATCTACCAATTTACATCTATAGAAATGTAACAATAGCCAAGCTGGGGCTGCTGGAGCTCCGGGGAAGAGGAGGAGAGACCTATGGAGTTCATGACAGCAGGAGAAACTACGATGAGAGAAAGAAAAAGCTGCTCTGAGCATTTCGGGCCATGGCTGCTTTAAGGCTCGAGCTGCTGAGCGCATGGAGCAGGAGCCGGCAGAAGCCACAGCTGTGCCCTTCAGATGGAGTTACTTGGAGGCAGCAGGAGAGAGGAGAGCCTTGGCGGCCCCCAGGACAGCAAGATCGCTAATAGGGTTCACGTGGACCCACGCAGGAGTGAGGAGCCAGAACAACTAAAAAAAGGGAACCACTGAGAGGCTGGTGAGTCATCGCAAGGGACCGGTGCAGGGCCCATCCCATAGGAAGTGTTTGCAGCACGGGCAGTGGGGGAGATGTGCCCACCAGGGGAACACTGGGGCACAGCAAGGACAGCTCATCTGCCCCCCAATCAGCACAGGACTACTCAAAGGAGACTGGACAAGAATGCAGAATTGCATGGGGTGCAGTTTGATGAAAAAACTCAGGCCCAGATCAGAGTTTCTACACAACACAGATCCACCAGGCCTCTGGAGAGCCGGAAGTACCTATAAGATCATCCATTAAACCCTGAGCTGCACAAAAAACCTTCCCTAGGGAAACAGCAGCAAAGTAGCAATTTAAACAACCACACAGCTAAAGTACTGGTTCCCACAGGAAGTTCCCCCGTGTTAGAAGCAAAAGACAAAAAATTAGCTCTGGCCCAGGCACACCACCAGCACCTTGGGGCCTGCCTGGGAACTGGAGGTTTGGATCTGGGGACTGGACCCCACTCCCACTTCCAGGCAAACTGCACCAGTGCCTCGGGGCTAGCCTGGGGACCTGAAACATGGAGAAGGGGACTGGATCCCCCTCCCACAACCAGGCACACCGTACCAGCACCTTGGGCCCTGCCCAGGGATCCAGGGCATGGAGAAGGGGACCGGACCACCGTCCCACAACCAGGCACACTGAGCCAGCACCTTGGGGCCCACCCAGGGACCCAGGGTATGGAGTTGGGCCCCCCCCCACCCTCCCACAACCAGGCACACCGTACCAGCACCTTGGGCCCTGCCCAGGGATCCAGGGCATGGAGAAGGGGACTGGACCTCTCTCCCACAACCAGGCACACCAAGCCAGCGCCTTGGGGCCTGCACAGAGACCCGAGGGAAAGAGAAGGGGAATGGACCTCTCTCCCACAACCAGGCACATTGAGCCAGCGTCTTGGGGCCCACCCAGGGACCCAGGGTATGGATTCAGGGACCAGACCACCCTCCCACAACCAGGCACACCAAGCCAGCACCTTGGGTCCCACCCAGTGACCCGAGACATGGAGCCAGGAACCAGACCCTCCTCCCACAACAAGGCACACCACGCCAGTACCTCGGGGCCCACCCAGGGACCTGGGACATGGAGAAGGAGACTGGATCCCTCTTCCACAACCAGGCACATGGCGCCAGCACCTTGGGGACTGCCCAGCAACCAGAGGCATGAAGAAGGGGACCAAACACACCCCATAACCAGGCATACCGCCAGTGCCAAGGAGCATGCCAAAAACAGCACCTCCATGTGGGTGGCCCACCCCAGCCACCACAGTAACCATGACTGCCGCAAAAGCGGCTAGATGCCACAGCCACCACGCAGATGGTCCGCCAACCACTGGAGCGCATTCACACAAGAAGAGTCACCAGCAGTAACAAAGAAAAAAGAGGATGTCTCCACAAAACCCATTTCAGAGTGACAGAAGAAGTATCTGCTCTATGATAATATTGGGGGACCTGATCACATCTCTCAGCATTGGACAGATCATTTAGGCAACAAG